GGGAAAGAGGAATGATGAAATATTACTATAGTTTTTAGTAACTTGCATAGGCTGCACACCACATGCTAAACTTCTGCAGCACTGACGTAAGACAAATTCCCTTCACGTGAAGAAAGATTATCTTGGCAACAGGTCTGGAATAGCGCCTGCTTGTTGCTGCATCCCCTTCAGAAGGTTTTAGGCGCGTTCCTGAGCGATGTGTGTGTGAGTATGTTTCCATTGCAGATTGCACATGGGGCGATGCTGGTTGGCAGAAGCTGAAATCTAATCCAGTATTGCTACACAGACAGGCCCTTGGCTTATTTTACATTGTAGTGTACTGTTTTATGTGAAATGGAGTATTCTCACAGGCAGTGATTTTTCATTACCAAACTCAAAAATTGACCACTTAAAAAAAAGTGTGAGTGGTCATAAAAGAAACAATTAAAGTACCTGGTTTATGGAGACTTGTGTCCCTCCTGTACTGGACGTCCATGTCCAGGCTGCAGGGTGGCCTCGGTCAGGAGAGACCGGGGCTGACCTGTGCTGGACATGGCCAGCTCCAATGGACCCACCACAGGGCACAGCTGAGTCCCTCAGCCGAACTGGTGGCACCTCTATGAAAACACGCTTAGAAAGTATGTCATTCTTACAAAAATGCTGGACAGATTAAGGAGGAGGGAACAAAAAGAGTGAGAAACAGCAGAGGGAACGCCAAGGTCAGAGCAGGGGGAGTGGGCAAGCAGCTGGGTGGGAGTTTGGGCCTCAGCCAGTATTAACCCACCACAAACTGCTCGTTATTTTGTCCCACAGTTAACCCACCACAGCTCCTCACTATTTTGTTCCACCAGTTCTTAGGGAACATATTTGAGTAGGAATTTCAGAGTGATGAAATGGCTGAGGTGAGAGGGGACCTGTGGAGATTGTCTAGTCCCTCTAGTCAGCTAGTACAGGCTGTCCAGCACTGTGTCCCGCTGGGTTTTGAATATCTTCAAGGACGGAGACGCCACAACCTCTCTGGGCAACCTGTGCTAGTGCTCATTCGCCCTCACAGTACAAACATTTTTCTTAGATTTAAATGAAATTTTGTGTATTTCAGTTCTATTGCCTCTTGTCCTGTCACTGGGCACAACTGAGAAGAATTTGCCTCTGTCTTTTTAGCTCCGACCCATCAGGTATTTGAAAACATTGACAAGATCCCCACTAAGCCTTCTCTTCTCCAGGCTGTGAACAGTCCCTGCTCTCTCAGCCTCTCTTCACATGGGAGATGCTTCAAGCCCTTAATCGCCTTTGTGGCCCTTTGCTGGACTTCTCCCAGCGTGCTCATGTTGCTCTTGCACTGGGGAGCCCAGTGCTAGGCGATGGTGCTTCAGATGCACCTCAGCAGCGCTGAGTTGAGGGGAAGGATCACATCTCCAGCTTTCTGCGACGTTTTTCCTCATGCACCACTGATGCTGTTGGCCGCCTTTGCCACAAGACCACATTGTGGACTCATGTTCCACTTTGTGTCTACCAGGATGCCCAGATCCTTTTCTAAAAAGCTGTTTTCCAGCTGGTCAGGCCCTAGCCTGTCCTGGTGCATAGGGTTATTCCTCCCCAGGTGCACGATTTGGCATTTTCCTTTGTTTGACAAGGTTGTTCTTGTCAGCCCACTTCTCCAGCTTGTCAGCATCCCTCTGAATGGCAGCACACGCATCTGGTCTATCAACCACTCCTCCCAGTTTTGTATCATCTGCAATTTGCATAAATGTGCACAAATTACCTTGCTGCATTTGAGTTGATACTTTCAGCACGTTTCCCATAGTAACCTCAGTGCACGAAGGTTTGACATCGTTCCTAGGCTCTGCAATGCAAATGTTTCACGTGTATCATTCTTGTCTTTAATTTCCAAAAGAGAGTTTGGAGGAAATAATGAAAGAAATAGTTTCTTGAAAAGTGTTGTAATTCATTCTACTAATACAGTATGCAAGAAGTTTCTTTAATCTTTCCTATAACAGCAAATTACTACTCCTGTGCGGTTCAATGTATTATTCCAGCTGAAAATGTGCATAGCTTAAAATGAAGATGTTTACAAAGTTCTCTCAAAATAAGCACCATGTGAGGCAGGTTGTTTCTTTCCCAGTCCAAGTGTCCTCTGTGCATCAGCTAGAGAGAAGGGGAAGTTTAGGGAATGTACTCCTATGGAAAATGACCTGGGCCAGCCAAGGGTACAGCTACAGTTTTTACGGCTGTCATCAGGAACATTCACAGTTTAATCCACAAAAGTTTTGCTTAGTTGCAAATCTTGGTACTCCACTACAGTGAGTGTGGTGTGCCTGTAGACCGTAAGCCTCCGTGGTGGCACAAGTGGGAGCATTCTGTGTGCTGCAGTTTTCTATTTACTGGAAGATAAACAAGGCAGGGGAAGTTTTAACCCCAAGATGCTATACAGATTGTCATTTTCTCTTTCAATGTGATATGACACTTGGAGATTCAGGGCAACAGTGCTCTTTAGATGTGATAGACAGAAGTGTTACACTGGTAAGTGTAAAGCAGACCAGTAGCAGTTGTTCCTAAAAAATGAGATTATATAGAAGAGTGTACTAAAAGGACAGTTAGTGGCTGTTCTTACAAATGGATGGCTGCATGCAACTCCTGTGAGAAAATACGTCGTGAACTTCGTAACTATTTCTAACAGCAGGTTATGTGGTGAAAGCTATCCTCCCAGGGAATTCAGGTTTTTAGAAGAGCGGGGCTGAAAATTACTCTGGAAAAACAAAACAAATCTATAAGAGACTATCTGCTTTCTATAAATTTATGTCTGTTTTTACTCGGGCAGTCTTTAAGTATAGCCATATTAGTGAATGTAATGGCATGTTTGTGGAAACAAATACTGCTATTATGGCATAGAAAATAGCAGACATAATAACATTGTCACATTACGTTAGTATAGAAATGTTCTGTGCAAAATTACAGGGCAGCTTCAACACTGTCTGTTACCATAAGGGAGTAATGTATTGGCGTTGTACTTGTGATGGTATAGATAACACTGTGTCAACACTTCCATTAAAATCCGTTTCTGAAGGGTTAGAACTTCACCACGCAGTCTCTTCTGACTAGGAATTTGACATTCTCAACCACTGTGAGTAACAAAACTTTTCTTAAAAGTTCTCATATTTTATTTTGACTCTTTACCAAGAAAAAAATCAAAACCCCTCATTTAAATGGAGAACTGTGTCAATATTACAAAATGGGTTCACGTTTGATTTTCTTGATATTTGATTGCATTATAGAGATACTGCCTTTCAGCTAACACTATATCTGTAGTGATGGTTAGCTTTTATTTTAAATGTGTTTGGATGTTAATATAATAGTTGTTGTGTATTGGAACAATTTAATTGGAGATTGGACAAGGAGTTCAAGGAAGACCTGCTAGGAAAAGATGGAATCCACCTGCCAAGGTGGGGCAAAAGCATCTTTGCCGCAAGCTAGCCAACCTGGTAAGGAGAGAGCCAGGACTAGGAATGGTGTGGAATGAAGATGACAACTCACAAGAAAGTGAGGAAATAGTGGACTGAGTGTGACAGGAAGGTGTGGAGCTCTGCCCAGAGACAAGTGATGAGCCAGCTGAGAGCTTATGGGTTAGAGTTAGAGGGCAGATCAAAGTGTAATATGATGTGATGAGTACCTGCTACAAACTGCCTCATAAGGAGCAAAAAATAGATGAGGCCTTCTTCAGACAAGTTGAAGAAGCCTCATGTTCACAGACCTAGTCCTCATGGGGGACCTGAATTACCCCAGTATCAGCTGGAGGGGCAACAGTGCAGGGCACAAGCAATCTAGATGGCTGGAGTGCATTTACTTGCTGATTCAGGTGATCAAGGAGCCAATGAAGGGAGGCACACTGCTAGACCTCACACGTGCAAATAAGGAAGAATGTATCAGGGTTGTGATGGTCAGGAAGTTCAGGTTCTTGAGAGGTAGGAGGAAGACAAAAAGCTGGAACACAATCCTGGGCTTCGAGAGAGCAGACCTTAGCCTGTTGAGGGACCTGCTTGGAAGAATCCCATAGGGCCCAGGAGAACTGTTAGATTTTCAAGGATCACTTCCTCGAAGCTGAGGAACTCTCATACACAACCTCATACACAAAAAATCAAGCAAAAGTTTCATACGTAATCAAGGGCAGTGTTGCAATGACCTGTGACACTCATGGATGCCTCCCATCAGGTCTCAGGAACTTGGATATGTCCACTTTGTTTAGATATTCCCTGATCTGATCTTTCTCCACTGAGCTAAGTCTTTCTCCAGACTTTCCCACTGATCTCAGGGACCTGGGATTGCTGAAAGCGCTAAAGGCTGCTGTTACCAGGAAAGACCAAGGCAAAGAAGACTGAGTATCTCAGTCTCTTCCATGTCCCTTGCCATGAGGTTCCCTCACCCCTGTCAGGGGCAGGCCCACATTTTCCTGCTTTTTCACTGCCGGTAGGAGCCCTTCCTGTTACCCTCCATGGCCCTTGCCAGATTAAACTCCAAGTGGGCCTTGGCTTTCCTAATCCCATCCCTGCATGCATGGACAGCATCTTTATATTCTTCCTGGGCTACCTGACCCTGCTTCCACCTCTTGCACACTCTCTTTTAATGTTTGAGTTTTGTCAGAGGCTCCTCCTGCCCTGTGCCACTTTTGCTTGATTTTTTGTGTATGGGGAGGCATCCATGAGCGTCACAGGTCATTGCAACACTGCCCTTGATTACGTATGAAAGGTCATGGCTACTGGGGGTGGTTCCTGAAAAAGTAAGGGTTTCTCCTGACTTCAAGGAGGAGGAACCAGTAAACTACAGGCTGGTCAGCCTCACCTTGATCACTGGAAAGTTGATGGAGAAAATCTGCCTGGAAGCCACTTCCAAACATATTAGGACAAGAAAGTTATTAGGGGTAGCCAGTATGGACTTATGAAGGGGAAATTATGTATTCTTAAATGACAGCGGATTCGGTACTTAGGTATTTGTCATTTTTTTGATAAACTGACAGTCTATGTTCTGATTTGCAACCATGCTGAGCACTCAAAATTGGGACTGAAACATGTATGTTTCCAGAAAATCAAATCTTAATTATTTCAGATTGAATACACTGAACAGTGGATACTTTTGGCTGTTACTGAGGATAGTAGAAACTAGGTACTGTAAAAATACATTAGTTAATGTTTATGAGAGTTTTGGATATTAGAGTATTTGACATTATGAAAATTCCATGAGGAACTGAATGATTCTCTCTTCAGTGTTTGGAGAGTGCATTAAGTAATATTGAGGTTATACTTTGAACCACAAAACCCTAAATATTGAGTCAGCATTAAACTTCTGCAATAAGCAAGCAGTTTTATAAACACCAGCCTTCTTCACTGCAGAATTCTGATCAAAACAGTCGCATTCTTGCACTGAATGAGACGAGTCCTATACTTTGTGAACATGTAATTAGCAATTATGTAATAATCTATATGCAAGGAGGGGTAATTTAATACTGCACACAGAAGGATAGACCTGGCTTTCCTTAGGTTTGCAGTGGTTTGTGTTTAAAGTTGTGTATGTGTATATATATTTAAAAAAAATAATCGCACACTGTATTTATAGGTTATGAAAAACAGGAGTATTTATTATTTTCTCTTATCCATGCCACTGACTTTTTACAGTCTTCTGAACTATCATATGGTGTTGACAATGGATAGTCATTCTGCTCTCACAATGTCTTACTTCTTCTGGAATGCAAATCAGAGTGCGATATTCATAAAATCTCTGTTTACATTATCAGTCCGGTATTACACAAATGATGGATTTAAATCAATTTACCAGACATACTTCTTCCACATTTATTAATTGATTTAACTGTTATGGATACTGCATCTTTCAGACCTTTGACACCTAGAGTGTAAGATCAGTCTTAATGCTACTTTTATGAGAAGGATATATACAAAATAAAGAAGCTTAGTTGAACCAGTGACTGAAAGATAAACTAACCGTAAGAGCCGCTCAGTAGTACTTTCTAAAACAATATTACATATTCCTGGCTCAGACTTTGCAGTTGCTAGCTACCAATAAACGCATAACCTGCTATTAAGAAAAGGGATAGAAAATTCCTCAGAGTACTTTAAAGCACATTTGATTTCCATCTCCAATAGCTGAGAATTAAAAAATCTGTCCCTGATAACATACCAGTCTAAATACTTCATATGATTATTTTGCCACAGAGGCTCACAGTACACAGGAGAAATAAAGATAGCTGCACACAAAATTACAATGCAGGGCAAGCTGCTGGAATGAACTAATTGAAGAAATCTCAATTTGTTCAGTGTATCTTACCCAGTATCTCTCTATAATGAATATCTGGAATTTCTGGTGACAAATATCAGTGGCCTAATTTGT